GTGATATATATATATATATATATATATATATATATATATATATATATATACACATATACATATATACATACACACATACATACATACACACACACACAATTAAATGTTATTCAGCATTAAAAGAGAATGAAATCATGGCATTTGCAGGTGAACAGATGGTGTTGGAGAATATAATGCTAAGTGAAGTTTGCCAATCTCCAAACACCAAATGCCAATGTTTTCTCTGAGTTAAGGATGCTGATTCATAATGTGGTTGGGGGTGGGCATGGGAGGTTTAAATGAGCTTTACATAGGGCAAAGGGGAGGGAGGGAAAGGGAAGGAGAATGGGGGTAGGAAAGATGGTGGAATGAGATGGACATCTTTACCCTGAGTACATGTATGAAGACACGAATGGTGTGACTCTACTCTGTGTACAACCAGAGATATGAAAAATTGTGCTGTATATGTGTAATATGAAATGTAATGCATTCTGTTGTCATATATAACAAATTAAAATTTAAAAGTAAAAAAGAATTCCTACTTCAAACAAAATAAAAGGATTGATATTCAGTTAAAAAAAAATAGCATCCCTTTGTATCAGTTCTACCTGGCTTCCCCAGTTTTTCACGAGGCAGTTGAGTCATTCTGAGGCCTTTAGTCTTGGGAAGTGTCCCAGAGTCCCCTCAACTGTCCTGTATCAGAGTAGCATCTGTGCCCCAGCTGCAGGTTTGGGAACAACCCACAGAGGCCTAGAGATCACTGTGCCTCTCCTCCACAGAAGTAGGTGCCCGAGTGGCTGGGCTGAGCAGCTGTGATGCTCAGGGAGCTTTGCTGCATTTTTGCATCCAACTTGGCAGTTAATTTTTCATGGGTTTTCTCTTCTCCGCCTTTAGGAAATAGCATCAAGAAGATGAACTTTCCATCATAGTTCTGCCTATACCAGTGTAAGGCATATAAAGACTGTGATGAATTACAATTTATGGTGAGATTCTCTCCCTCTTGGATGCTCAGAGACCGAGGACTCTGCTGCAGTACTTGGCTACTGACCCCTGTTCAACAAGACAATATAAAGAAAGCACAGGAGACCCTCAGGAGGTCTGCATGGTCATAGTCAGGATGGCGACTCCCTCCCCCTCCCCACGTTCCCCAATCAGCAGCACCATCACATCAACAGGGAATATTATTCAGTTTTTTCAACATCTATCTGACTCTCAAAAGGCTCTTCCAGGACAGAAGATGACTTAGTGCCTGCCCTCAGGAAGCCTTCATCATCTCAACAGTTCTTCCACAGGAAACCCATACTCACAGGCTGCCTGCAAGCCCAGTATCCCTACAAGTGCTTGCAGGAGAGTCTCCATCCCTTGTCTCTTCAGTAAACAGCCAAATAAGATTTCTATGAACAGGCTTCCCCAGCAGAGTTACTCCAGCTCCTTGGGGAGAGAGACTTCACCAATCAGGGACCATACCTGATTCCTGTTTGTTAGCATCACACACACTTAATTCAAATACTTTTAAACACTGCCACCCTTTGATTAAACTGAGAAATGTACAATAACAGGTGACTTCTGGAGTGAATTTATATATGAGATACATTTGTAAATTGCAATTAAGGCTGCCACTTTTCATAAAAATAGAAAATATCCTCTCACTCCTTACAAGCTTGAGAAAGTTTCCCCTTTATAATTAAGAGAAATCAAGGAATTCTGTTATTTGTAGAACAGAGTAATTGTTTTTCACTTGGATTTGTTTACTTTTGGTTTCAACCTTTTAAAAACTATTAAAGAAAACTTTTTTTATAATATAAATTTTAAATTTTACCTGAAAATTATTATTTTTATTATTGATTTTATTTTTTAAATACATGACAACAGAATGCATCACAATTCTTATTACACATATAGAACAGTTTTTCATGCCTTTGTTTGTATATAAAGTATGTTCATATAAATTCATGACTTCATACATGTACTTTGGATAATGATGTCCATCACATACCACCATCCTTGTTAATCCACTGCCCCCTCCCTTTCCCTCCCACCCCTCTTCCCTATCTACTTGACATCTAATAAATTGCATATATTTAAGAGGTACAATTTGATAATTTCTGGTGTGGGCATACAAATATGAAATCATTGTCACAATCTAGAAAATGAATATTTGTACCATCCCAAAATTCCCTTGTGGCCCTAGGGGTCCTTTGTGCTCTGTTCTAATTCCTCCTGTATACCTTCTTACCACACCCTCCCAACCCTATTCATCCCCAGGCAATCTCTGATCTGCCTTCTCTTAATACAGAATATTTTTAATTTTCATCATATCTAGTTGCTTTCAGCATATTTGAATCTGTATTAGTCAACATGGGCTGCTATAACATAATACCATTGACCAGGTGGCTTAAACAGTAGACATTGTTTCTCAGAGTTCTGGGGACAGGGAAGTCCAAAAATCAAGACTTCAGTCAATTTGGTTTCRGAGGGAAGAGTTCTCTTCCTGGTTTAAAGAGGTCATAGTACTAGGGATTAACTCGGAATCAGAGACATGACAGGCAAGTACTCATCTGCTGGTGGACATTTGGGTTATTTATAACTGATATTTTCCAAGCTGCTATATGAATATTCATATAATATTCATATATATACATGGACATGAATTTTAATTTTGGGGGGGGGTTAATACTTGGGAATGGAACTGCTGAGTTTACTAATAGATGCATATATAGCATTTTAAGAAACAGAGAAACTATTTTCTGCTGAGAGTTTCAGTGGCTCTGAAAACTCACCGATGCTTGGTATGTTCAGTCATTTTTATTTTAACCTTTCTAGTAGGTATGTAGTGGTATCTCATTGTTTTAATTTTCATTCCCCTTATGACTGATGATGCTGAGTGTCTTTCATGTGCTTATTTACCATACATAGGTCTTTTGGGAAGTTTCTATTCAAATAGCTCTGGATTGTCAAATCTTCATGCATCTAAGAGTCAGGTTCACAAATGTCCCAGAATTCTTCTCCTTGGCTTTACCCCATACTTGAGTATTTTTATATATGTTGCACAGGAGAAGAGAAATATGGCTAGTATCTATTTATGAGCTATTCAGAACCATAAGGCTAAAGATAAATTGTCCCCTTCTGTAGCCCCTWAGCTTAATGAACCTAGAACTCCTCATAGCCTGTGAGTAGGGGTATGGCCAACCTCTCACATTTGCTCAGACCTAGTAAAGAAGGACACTAGTGTAAATTCTTTCAAGTACTTTGGAAGAAGTGGAGGCAGCAGATACCACTCTTTTGTCTTTAGCCACAAAAACCATCATTTCTTAGACTATTTTTCTAAAGTTGAGATGAGAACAAGTCCAGTTACCAACCTCATARTTTAAAAGCAAACTGAAGTTTGGGGTCTGTGTGTCTGAGCCTGGTTGGGGAAGATCCCAGGCTACAAAACAGTAAGTAGCCCCCAGCACAGCCACATCATTGCCTTCCCTGTGGGTGTTCCCCAGCCAAGCATCATCTACAGACAGAACAGCCTTTGGTTAGGTCTTTCTTCATCTCCAGGTTTAAATATACATTTTAAAAGAGAATAAGAATGTCCTCTCTTTGTATAGCCATAATTCAGAAGATTTGATTGAACTTCTTTTCAAGGTTTAAACTCAAGTAGGCTGTGTGAATGAATAAAACCATGTAGATTGTTCAGCCCTCATTTACACTAAGTGGAAAAAATTGGTGGTTTGGGGCTCCACAGAGCTGGTAGGRAATGCCCTTTATTCTGAGAAATCATGTTGAGCCTTGTACTGTAAGGGAAGAAGAGACATTCAATCTTCTGTAATACAAGTTACATCTTAGAGGCAATAATATAGCTTTTAACGTTAAGAGTAAAAAATTTATTTTTTTTTAAAAAAAATTACTACAAGCTAATTTAAAAACAAATGACATTGTGGGAGAAAATATTTACAACATTTAGAACAAAAATTCTTTCATACTTGTATAACATTGCATTACTCAGGGTGACTGAGAAAGATGAAGTGAGGAGTAGGCTGAGAGCCACGTGGCCTGGGGCTCTGGTCCCCCACACTGGCTCCTGGAATGCAGTGAGAACTTGAGCATCTTCCAGATGGATGTGGCTGTGCACCTGTGGTCCTGAGTCAGGCACCAACGACTTTGTAAGCTCTTCTCAAACCTGTACTTTCTCATCTCCAGCCTGTACCTTAGRAGTGGACAGTACTGAGGACTCTAGGAGAAGAGAAGAGAAAGGAGAGATGGGGAGAGAAGGTTTGAAGAATGAAATGCCATTTGACAAGAGAGCTAGAAGTAAACATGAAAGGCATTCTCTGCTTATCCTCTAAAATGGTTACTACACAAATGGGAAGGAAGGGCTGGCGGAGTAACTCAGAGGTAGAACACTTGCCTAGCATGTATCAGGCCTCAGRTTTGATCCTTAACACCCCAGACAGAAAAAGATAAATAAAAATGAAAAGCAAAGGAAAAATGGGAATAAAGTTAAAATTACTTATCCTTTTCTTCTGTAATAACTAAGCTTGCAGATTCACTATAGAAATAGATACTTGACCATTTACAATTGAACTCTATTAATCACCTTCCTCTCTCATTTCTTATCTATTTGCCAAACTGTGTATTGAACCCAGGGCCTGTGGCATGTGTCTATCACTACATCCCCAAACCAAGTAAAAAGTTCCTTTTTTTTTTTTTTTTTTTTTGATGAGGTCTACTGTGTTGCCTATGCTGGTCTCAAACTCACAGACTCAAGTGATCCTCTTGCCTCAGTTCCCCCAGCACCTAGGACTGCAGGTGTGCACCACCACACCCAGCTCGCCTCTCTTTTCTTTCCACGTGGGACTAAGTTATTTGCATTGCATTTGGAAAGCGGCTTACCTATGTCTTTGAAGCTGTGAACACATTCAAGAAAAGACACTGAAGTACAAGATGACAAAAGGGATGAATGTAAGCTCTTTGTACAACTCAATATCAACATTTCCCTCACCCTGGAAGAGGTTTGTGTTTATAGCTATGACAGCCCCCTCTGGTGACTGTCTACAAGAACTCCTTTACTTAGAATTAGGAACAAAGTCTGTTTACAGTCTTTCAAGGTTTACACTTCAGGTCTAAAGACAGATTTTGTTCTTGTTGTTTTTAAAGATATATTCTATTTTTTATATGCTGTGGCAAAACTCTGCATACTGCAATACTTTAAGAAAGACTGAATTATTGTCAGTCCCTTTGGGAATTTAAAATGATTTCTGTGACATTTTCTTGATTTTTAATTCCTTTTACTTTCCATGGTATCTTGTTCTTGTGCTTGAAGGCAGTTCCAAGCCCACATTATTTATTGTGAAGCATAGTATTTGGCATAGATTGAGCACATAATAATAATGCAGGTGAATGCATTAATTTGTACTTACTCATCCCATTAGTGGGAGAAGGTATGTGGAATAACTATTGAAATTATTCCAAATAAAAGCTTCTAATTTTATGGAGGATAAGATTTAACAAAAGTATCCAACAGTAGCTGGACAAGGTTGTGCATGCCTGTAATCCCAGTGGCTCAGGAAGCTGAGGCTGAGGTAGGAGGATTTCGAGTTCATAAGCCAGCCTTAGCAAAAGCGAGGTGCTTAGCAACTCAGTGATATCTGTTTTAAATAAAATACAAAATTGGGCTGTGGATGTGGTTCAGTGGTTGAGTGCCCCTGAGTTCAATCCCTGGTACCAAAAAAAAAAAAAAAAAAAAGTATCCAATGGTAAAAGTAAATGCAATATTAAAACCAGGGAAAAATTCAATAGCACCAAGCCTTCACTCCCCCAAACACACACAAAGAAAGGAAGAAAAGAATGAAGGAGGGAAGGAAAAAAGAAAGAGAATGAAAGAGAAATTTACAAATCTAGAATCGAGAAAGTCTGGCTATGAGATTATGGTAGTACATGACATGATTGTCATAATTGCAATTAATTTAATAATGATTCTCTGTGCAAGTACTATGTGCCAGATTATAAAATGATGATAGTAATTTAGTGTTTGTATACATGTAAAAAATGAAAAATATTGGGATTGCTAAAGGAAATTTAAAATGTAAGGGTCATTATGTTATCTGGTTATATTATGCAAGGCAGATCAACATTAGAAATTTTAATATAGTGTTTATTACTGCAGTATTCAAAAGGTGTGGAGAATCCAGGTGAGTCCAGAGAAGTGCAATAAGTATTGTGATACCTTTTGTTTGTCTGTTTTAATTTAACAGCTCTGTTTAGACAGAATTCACATACCATACAATTCATCTAATTAAAGCATACAATTCACTGGTTTGTGGTATATTCAGAGTTGTGCAATATCACAATAATCATAGAACATTTTTATTGTCCCCAAAGAATAACCCTATACCCATCAGCAGTCAAACAATTTCCCCCAGCAAACCACTTAAGGCAACCACCAATTTACTTTTTGTTTCTCTAGAGTCTTGACATTTCACGTAAGTGAAATTATATAATATATGATCTTTTGGGATCAATTTCTTTCATTTAGCATAATGGCTTAAAGGGTCATTGAAGTTGTAGCATGAATCAGTACTTCATTATTTTTTATCACCCAATAATATTCCTTATTTCTTGTCAGAGGAACTAACCTTTTCCAAAGGGATTGTGCCATTATACACTAATAAAAAACTCTTCTGCTTCAAAAGAAATGCAAAAAAGTAAAAAAAAAAAAAAAAAAAAAAGATAACACATAGAATGGAAGAAATTATTTGCAAATAATATATCTC